ATTAGTCAGCATTCACCTGTCTGTGTAAGCCCTGTTATATATGTGCGCCTGTCTATCCAAGTAGTTCCCCCGTCCTTTGGTTCCAGTATAGTCTGGAAAACAACTTTTGCAAGTTAAAAAATAGAGACGCTGAAGAGGAGGCCATGCTTTGGTGGTAGGGAGGGGCCTTGGAGAAGTAAAACAGGAACTTTGTCATCACGGCTCACTCAAGCATCTTGGAAGGAGCAAGCTGCCATAGCTACCTCCATAAAACAAACTGGTCTTAAGATGCACCTAGCTCTCCGTGCAGCCGGACCAAGCTCCCAGGCTCCCGGAGGGTGCTGGGAAGACTCCCGTCCTCAACGCTGCCTATCTTGACCTTTGCCCTGCCCTCCGAATTGGGTCTCGCCAGAGCCCTGCCTGAGAAGGAGAACCCCAGCGTGAAGACAGGAAGGTGCCTGGGAGAGGAAATACCGCCACATCTTGAGCCGACCACCCCCACCCTTTTCACAGCGGAATAACACACACTCGCCCCGCCCCAATCACTTTCAGCAGGATTGGAAGTACATTCTTGTGCTGTTAATTTACTTGCGATGGAAGATGGTGCTCTCGATTTTGTTTTATGCAGACCAGCCCTTCTCTTGAACCCATCAGATTCCCTTGCCTGGAATTCTGGAGTAGTCCATCAGCAGCGCCTTCTCTGAAGCTTTTCTTCCCAGTTCTCCCACCCACCGATACCCTTACCTTGAATTAAGAGTCAGGAATTTGGAAGTGTTGGCAGGCGGGCTGGCAGCGGTTGGCAGACAGCGCCACCATGTGGAAGTTCCACATTATCGCTTGCTAGGTGACACAAAATGACTAAGGGAGGGCGCAGAAGGCAATTGAGAGAGGCCTTAGATGTCTGAGACGCTGAGCGGCTTATACCGAAGTCAGACCTGCAAAAGTCAAGAACCGCGTACAAGTACGTATACAAGTTTATAAACGTGCTCTGTGTGTTTTTTTTTTCAAAATAGCAGTGTCTTTATATTTCAGCTATCTTGACCCTGATGTTTCGTCCTTCCTTGAATTGAGCACTTACAAGTTTCCATCCTCATCTGCGTCAGAGAGTAACAATATAGTTTTTATGCGTGCCAACACAGAGAGTGGGGGAAAAACGTGAAACGGACAATCAGAGCAGCAAGCTACTGGACTCCTGTACACTAGCAGAGGGAACTAGAGGTGTGAGGACTCCCAACTTCACACCTCCACCCAAAATCAATTCGATTTTGATGTTATTTTAGGGGTGATACATTTATTTTTGAATGACTTTAAAAATAATGTTATGTATTGATTGTAGCAGTCCTGGCAGTAAAGAGAAAGGGCCTAAAGCTGACCAGACACGTGGGTGAAGCCAGACTGGGGCTAAGCAGTTTCCCACAGGCGATGTTAGGTGACAGGTAACCAAGTCATTTATCCGTCTGTCCATCCATCGGTCCATTCGCTACACAGAGATATCACTGGGCCCATCGGATGGACAGACCACATTTTCTACATCCATTTTTTCACCGATGGGCATTTGGGTAGTTTGCACAGTCTGGCTGTTATAAATAGTGCTGCTCTGAACACTCGTGGACAAGTGTTGGAGCAGACCTGTGTTCTCATCTCTCAGGTACACACCTAGGAGTGGAACGGCTGAGTCATGTGGCAGCTCCATTAACTTTTTGAGAAAGGGAGCTTAAAACAATTACCTTATGAACCAGGACCGAGCTCTCTATTGGGACCTTCCATGGCCTGAGTGGCGATTTGGTTGGCCAGGCTGCATGAGAGGCTGAGAGACCCTGAGGAGTGGGTGGCTCTTACTTGTCACTGAGTTCCCTTTGCTGCAGACCCTGTGCTGTGTGTGTGTGTGTGTGTGGAGGTGGGGGTACATTTAAGAGCATGGATTCTGGAGCTAGACTACCTGGGTTCAAGTCCTGGCTCTGGCACTTACTGGCTGTACCCTGGGTGGGCTTTTTTTCCTCCCCGTGCCTTAGTTTCCTAACCCGCAAAATGTTCATAATGATAGTATCTACCTCAACGGATTATTCTGAGAATTAACTGAGTTTATACGCGCAAAGCACCGGGAACGGTGCCCGGCGTATAGCAAGAGGATATACGACGTAGGTATTTTTTTTGCTCATCTGCCCTGCACAGCCCACTCCTGTCCCAGCCCGGGTTCCAGGACAGGCGCTCCCACCCGGCAGGAGAACTGGTTCAGAGTGGCTTCTGCAGTCTGCGTGGAACCAACACGCAGGCCAGAGGCCCAGGTGCAGGAATATGGGGCCGCTACGTGTGTGTGGCCGAACCTCATGCTGCTGCTGCTGTGTCGTGTGTCTTGGGCTCCGTGCCTGACTGCGCCTTAGCGTCCTTTCCAGGATTTTCCCTTGGCCTTTCCAGGCTTATGTTGCTGTGAGGTCTCACGGCCCTTTTCTCCGGGTCTGCTGGGTAACCCTGCTCACCGGCATCGCGTGGCGCACGCTGTTCTCCGTCCTGCGCCCTCGCCGGGAGCAGAGCTTGGGTCGTCTCTTCTGTTCTCTGCACGCACGGGACCCGGGACCCAGTTGTGCGTGGTCTGCTTTGCCCCAGGGGCCCTGACGGCCTGGGAGCCTACAGATGGTTTTATAATGGGCAGCCCCCTCCAGCCCGCAGGAGCTGCCTCACTCTTGTCCCCACCCCCCATTTCCCTGGACTTGCTTTCAGGCCCCTCCAACTGGAACTGCCCAAGTCACGCCCTCCAAACAGGGAGGGAGGCACCGGGCTGCCCTCCCGCGTCTGCTGAGCAGCTTGTCGCCCCCCCCTCCCGTCAGCCGCACAAGGGGCCGTTTATGCTGAGGCCCCCTCCTCCTCCGCCGCTGCCCCCAGCCACCCCCACCCAGGTCCCTGGCGACAGGGTTGGACATCTTGGCACAGGGGACGGATCTCTACACAACGTGCACTCTGTTTAGCTTGAAGCCGGCTTGGGGGGAGGCAGGGAACCCGCAAAGCTCTTTGAGAACAGGAGTGTGGTTTCTTTGTGACTTTCCCAGGCGCTGGAGATGACACACACTTTTCTCTCCTCAGTTGCCATCGCTGCCCCGTCCAGCCTTCCTCACGGCTTGTGACAAGCAGCTCAAAGCAGAAAGCAACCGTGTTTGCCAGAGCAGCCCGCGAAGGGAGCCCCAGGTCCCACCGAGGGAGCTCTGGGCATGGCTTGCTGGGGCGACGGTCTCCATTTCACAAGTTTGCCTGGCAAGCTAGGAAGGGCGGCTTGGGCACATGTGTGGCGCTAGGACGGACGGCTGTCACTATGCGCTGTGGCCTCACTGCCGTCCCAGTATGGAGACGAGGTTACAGAGCCTGGGGACTTTCTCTGAGGCCATGCTTATGGCAAGTGGCAGATTCAGGGTTTAACCGAGGCCCATCTGATGCAGAAGCCCATGAATGAACCGCCTCCGCCCGGCTCTCCCACCCCACCCCTGCCTCTAGCCACCACAGAACCATCATGAATGCCAGCACTTACTCAGCCCTTTTCCTGTGCAGCTCCGGTGCTCATTTACTCACGTGTATTAGCTAATCCTTAAAGGCCCCCCCACCTCCATAAAGGAGAAGTGACCACCCCCCGTTTGACAGATGCAAAACACACCCAGGGGCACACAAGCAAGGGGTAGAGGCAGGATTTGAACCCAGGCAGCCTGTCTCTGGAGACTGTGCCCTCCTGCCTTCCAAGTCTTACGTATCTGCTGTGTCCATAGAAGCGTGAAAACTGCTCCCCAAGGTGGTGTAGGAAACGGGGTCAGCTCGGTTGTAAAAAAACATCTGATCTTCCACTGGGAGTGCTTTGGCACTGGCTGCAGGAGCTCTGACTCCTTTGTTAAATGTGTCTTTAAAATCATGTCTCCTATGGCATGTTGGGAAATACAAGCATATAAAAACTCCCCAGTGAGAGGCAGACTTTCCAGCCAGTCTCCCTGGAAGCAAGTTATTTCTGTTAAAAGATTGCATTGAGCAGCACTCCAGACATTTGCTGCTGTGGTGAGAACCGTAACCCTTGCCGGGTGCCTCCATGCAGCGAGGTGCCGAGGGAAGGAAGGAGAGAGAAGGTAAAATTGAAAAGAGATGGTATGAGATGCTCTGGGGCCATGCGCCCTGACCCACTTCCCAGCCTCACCTCCCGGAAAGCGGATGAACGGGTGGGCTGGTCCCTGGGAGGATAGCATTCCCGTGCAAGCATTTCCTGTGCTATAGGTTCCAGAGCAAGAGGCAGTGGTTGGCAGTGTAGGAGCCCCAGGATTTTAAATGATGGTGTTGTGGGTTGCATTTGTGTCCCCCAAGAAGGTACGTTGCAATCCTAGCCCCCGGTACCCATGAACATGACCTTCTTTGGCAACAGGGTCTTTGTAGATGGAATTAGTTAAGATCAGGTCATTACTGGATTCAGGTGGGTCTTTAAATCCAATATAATTAGTATCCTTATGAGGAAAAAGGACACACACACACACACACACACACACACACACACACACAGAGGAGAATGCCATGTGATGACACAGACACACAGAGGGACCCTCTGACCATGGGATGACAGGCAGAGATTGGAGTGACACAGCTACAAGCCAAGAAATGCTAAGGGCTCCCAGCAGCCTCCAGAAGCCGAAAGAACCAAGGAAGGATCCTGCCTGAGAGCATTCGGAGGGAGCGCAGCCCCGGTGACCCCTTGATTCTGGACCTCTGACCTCCAGAACCATGAGAATAAACCTGTTGCCTTAAGCCACCCAGTTTGTGGGACGTGGCTACAGCAGCCACAGGAAGCTAAGACACAGAGTCTCCCCACTCTGTTCTCCCACCCCGCTTGGCTTTCTTCAGTTTCCCCCAACAGTGGACGTCAGGCTCTGAGCATCACTTTTTATTCCATAGCCTTTCTCACCTCGATGCATTTTATGTTCCCCACCCTTTTGGTGACTTTCATGTTTTATTTCAGGAGGAGGTTAAGGTTTCATTTTGTTTTGTTTTGTTTTTCCCTCAAGTCTCTCTCAGTTCAATTTGGACCCAATTGGAGAAGAGTGGTGGCTTTCTCCTTTTTTCAGCAGCCGCCTTCAGATGCTGGCCCATGGGAGAGTCGGGGCTGTCCCCCGCATTGGAGCTATTAAACTGTCGTAAGAAAGAGGCCTTTGTCACGGGGAACACGGCACTCAGCTCAGAAACAGAGACAGATTGTGCCAGAAAACAAACAACAAAAAAAAAGGTTCAACCACAGAATTCTTTGGGACTTCAGTCATCAGCCTCTCGCTTGTTCTTAAAAGACAAATTTCCTTTCTTTGGTGTAATTCCATCAGATAGGTCGTCAGGTTTTAATTCTGTCCAGAACTGAGGGCTGGGGGCCCTCCCCAGACCATCTGCGCTGGGCCTCCACCCAGCTCCCTGTCTGCATTACCTCATGCCTGCCTGCCTGCAGGTTGGGGAGTCAGAGGCCCCACTGGGCCTGCTCAGGGGACTGGGCCCGAAGTAGATGTTTTTTCAGTGCAGGGAAGGGAGGAGCGATTGGAGAAGCCAGTGAGGACAAGTTACAAACTCCTTAGCCCATGAGTGTGAAAGCTTTTATAAATGTGCATTGCATTTGGGAGAGACCCCAGAGAGCCTCGTTTTTATGCACGAGAAAAATGGAAGTGAAGAGACTGGCCCAAAGCCACACTGTTCACTGGCAGCAGGCCGCACCCGCCCGCCCAGGACCAGGGGTCAAAATGCCACTTGACCCAACACGGCACTGGGGAACTGCTGTGGGCCCAGAGCCTTCTCAGAAGCGTGACAGTCACCCGGGCACAGCTGAGAGCACAGAGTCCAGGTCTGCGCTTCGGACGCCGAGTCACATCTCAGGGCCAGACCCTGGCAAGCGTCTTTCTGCTTCCCGTCTCTGTGATTTGGACTCCTCTGGGGACCTCATGGAAACGAAATCACACAGCGTTTGTCCTTTTGTGTCTGGCTGATTTCACTTCGCATAATGTCCTCAAGGTTCACCCATGTCGTAGCATGTGTGAGAATGTCCTTCCTTTTTAAGGCTGAATAATATTCCCTTCTGTGTAAAGGACACACCGTTTATCCTTTCATCCATCGGCGGACACTTGAGCTGCTTCCAGCTTTTGGTTTTTATGAATAATGGTGCTATGAACACGGGTGCACAAATATCTCTTTTAAGACCCTGCTTTTAATTCGTGTGTGTGTGTGTGTGTGTGTGTGTGTGTCTGTCTGTGTGTGTATGTGTGTGTGTATAGACGTAGAATTGCTGAATGGCATGGGAATTCCATTTTTAATTTTTTGAGGAATTTGGACATGGTGCTTTTTATTTGGTGTTTAATGCCGAGCTCCCTGGGGTACAGGGGGTACTTCCTGGAGGGGTGCAGACCCTCACCCTTGGACCATGACTGGATACGTGGGGTGTGTGCATCTGACCCTGACCTTCCTGGGACCCAGGCCCCTGAGTGGCTGCAGTGGTGGCTCAGCCTTGCATGAGGGGGAGCAGAAGGAAACCGGGGGAGAAAAATGGGGCTGCCTTGAGGAGCCAGCAAAAGTGAAGCTGAGCCCTTGGGCCGGTGCAGGCGTGGGGCAGGCCCTGGACCAGAGGCATTTGTTAACACTCAGCAGTGGGGCTGTGGATGTTTACGGTCATGTTTCTTCAGCTGTGACTAGAGCCTGCAAGGACGGGCTGGGGTTGGCACTTCCCAGGGGGACTGGCTGGTAGCTGGACCAGCACGTCTCTGTTCTGACTTCAGGTTCCCTGTGGCATCTGCTTGTTTGTAAGACACAAGCAATGTATGTCATTAAAAGTGGCCGTGGTGTCATCACTCTGACTTGTCTGCCATATAGCACGTGGCGTTCTCAGTAACCCCACGTGACCATCCGTAACCTGGGACATCTACCTCCTTAATACACCTTTAGAGGGGCCCACTCCCCAACCAAAGACTAAAGGACCTTGGCATGACATGCCCCTCAGTGTGTACCAGACAGTGGTGTAACAATGAACATTTGCTAGAAGCATTATACAGATACCTAATGACATCTTTCTGTAACAGCTTTATTGAGATATAGTTCACCCATTGAACGTATACAATTCGATAGCTTATAGTAGATTCACAGAGTTGTGCAGCCATCATCACAGTCGATTTTAGAACGTTTCCATCACCCCAACAAGGAACCCTGTACCCTAACTAGTCACCCCCCATTTTCTCACAACTTTTCAACCCTTCAGAACTGCTAATCTATTTTGTATCTCTGTGGATTTTCGTATGTGTATGCATGGAGTCATATAACACGTGGTCCTCTGTAACTGGTGTGTTTAACGTAGCATAATGTTTTCATAGTTAATCTGCATTATAGCATGTGCCAGTGCTCCACTCCTTTTTATGGTCAAGTAATATTCCATTTATGGGTATACTACCTTTTGTTTATTCATTCGTCCATTGCTGGACATTTGGGTTCTTTTTACCTTGGGGCTATTGTTGAAAAATGCTCAACGAACATTTGGCGTGTGTGTATGGGGACATTCTTTTCAAGTCTCTGGGGTATATACCTAGGAGTGGAATTTCTCAACCATGTAGTAAACCTATGTTTAGCCACTTGAGGAACTGCTGACCTGTTCTCCAAGGTGGCCACACCATTTTCCATTCCCACCAGCAATGACTGAGGGTTCCATCTCTCACATCCTCACCAACACTTGTTATTATCTGATTTTTTTTATTATGGTCCTAGAGAGTAAGTGGTATGCCATTGTGGTTTTGATTTGAATTTTCCTGATAGTTAATGATATTAGAATCTTTTTACGTGTTTATCGGCCACTCACATATCTTCTTTGGATACATGTCTGTTAAAGTCCTTTGCCCAGTTTTTAAGTTCGATTATGTGACTTTATTATTATTGGCAAGAGTTCTTTATGTACTTGATATGCCGGGGGTGCCAAACAATGTATACACATTTTAAGTGATGTTATCTATGTATTACTTAGTAGTTCGCCGTAATCAGAAGTGTTTGGATGCTGATGGTAACCGCTTTGAGCACCTCTGGTATTTGCAGAAGTCAAATGTAACTTGTATTCATCTTTTGTTATCAGTATATATTGAGTATTATAATTTTAATACAGTTTTCCTTTCTTAAAATGTGTGTACATTTTTTTGGCACCCTCTATATATGTAAGTCCTTTATCTGATACATGACTTGCAAGTGTGTTTTCCCATTCTGTGCATTGTTTTTTTACTTTCTGAATGGTGTCCTTTGAAGTACAAATTTTTAAAATTTGAAGTCCAATAGATCTCTTTTCTCTTTTGTTGTTTCTCGGTGTCATAGCTAAGAAACCATTGCCACAAGATTGATTCCTGTTTTCTTCTAAGAGTTTTATAGTTTGGGCTGTTATGTTTAAGTATTTAATTCACTTTGAGTTAATTTTTGTAAATGGCGTGAGATAGGGGTCTAGCCTCATTCTTTTGCATGTGATGTCCAACTGTCTAACACCATTTACTGAAAAATCGTCTTCTTTCCCCTTTGAATTGACTGGACACCCTTGTTGAAAATCAGTTGACTGTAAATAGGAAGGTTATTTTTCCTGAACTCTCAACTCGGTTCCATTGGTCTATATTTCTATCCTTATGATGATACCACACAGTCCTGAGTACTGTAGCTTTGCGGTAAATTTCTAATTCAGGGAGTGTTAGTCCTCCAACTTTGTTCTTCAGCCTCAAAATTGTATTAGCAATTCTTGGTCCCTTGTGTTTCCATATGAATGTTAGGATTAGTCTATGAATTTCTGCAAACACTCAACTGAGATTTTGATAGATCAATTCAGAAAGTGTTGTCATCTTGCCAACATTAGGTCTTTCAATCCATGAATATGGGATGTCTTTCCATTTGTTTTGATCTTTCTTTTCTTCCAGTAATGTTTTGTCGTTTTCGGTATACAAGTCTTTCACCTCCTTGGTTTAATTTATTCCTAGCTGTTTTTTAATGCTATTATAAATAGAATTGTTTTCTTAATTTCACTTTCAGATTGTTCATTGTTAGTGTATAGAAAAACAATTGATTTTTTTTGTATATTTATCTTGTATCCTAAAGCCTTGCTGAACTCATTTATTAGCTCTAATTATTTTGTGTAGCTCTAATTATTTTGTGTGTGTGTGTGTGTGTATTAGGATTTTCTGTATATAAGTTCATGTTATCTTCAAATAGATACATGTATTTACTTCTTCCTTTCCAATCTAGATGCCTCATTTATTTTTCTTATTTAAATACTGGCTAGAACCTTCAGTATAATGTTGAACCAAAGTGTTGAGAATAGACATTCTTCTCTTGTTCATGATCTTAGGGAGAAAGTCCTTCACCATTAGCATGATGTGTGTTGACTGTGGGTTTTTCGTAGATACTTTATATCAGGTCAAGAAAGTTCCTTTTGCTGAGGATTTTTATCATGAATGGATGTTGGACTTTGTAAAATGCTTTTCTTGCACCTGTTGAGATGATTGTCTTTTTTTTTTATTCTATTGATATGGAATATTGCATTGATTTCGGATGTTAAACCAACCTTGTATTCCAGGGTTAAATCCCACTTGGTTATGATGCATAATCTTTTTAAATATGTTCCTGGATTTGGTTTGTGAGGATTTGGTTGAGGAATTTTGCATCTGTATTCATAGGAAGTATTGGTCTTTAGTTTTATTTTCTTGTGATGTCTTTGTCCGTTTTTGGTATCTGGGTAATACGTGTTGTCCAATTAGATTCAGGGGATGAGAAAACCTCTTCATTGTTTGGATTTGTACAGCTAGGTAGATATCAGTGCCTCTCACAGAGAGTGAGATTCCAAGCAGGAAAGAAAAGAATGATGACTTCGATGACTGAGTTTAGAGCAGGGTATGCGAACTCTTTGGGTTTTACCCCTGTTAACCTAGCAGTTGCTAATCTGTATGAAGGAAAGTGTGGTTCGCTACCCCCAGCTTCTCTGGGACGCTTGGAAGGCTTGTTGCATCCTCTTGGAAACTCTCATCTACATTCTGGTCAAGAAATGCAGGTATATAGTTTCTGCTGTATAAAGACACATAAGATTCATGTCTAGTATTAAGCTGAGACTTGCTGTCAGAACCCTCACCTATGCTTGGCTCCCTTGTTACTTATTTAGGTCTCTGGCTCTGAATTCTTTCAGCCTGGATTCTGACCCCATTTTCTTCCTGGTCTGTGGACGCAGCAGTCCTCATCCTGCACACCATGGATGCTGGGCTTCTCACCCCAGGCTGTGATGGCGTGTTCCGCCTGCTTGAACCTGCCTCTTCTACTTTTCTTCCCCTTACCTGGACTCTTCAGACTGTCTGGTCTGCTTACATTCTGAGTTGCTTATCTGTCCTTTCTCACTGGTACTGCCTTTTCCCATTGCCTCCTTCTCTCCAGGACCTTGACTTTTGTTCCCCCATCCAGGCTTGACTTCCTTCATCCTGTCCTGACACCAACTGACCTCACCCCTTCCCACCACCCCCACGATGTCTAATCTGCCCATGACGTTGGTCCTGGGTTTCTCTGGCCTGTCCCATCCTGCTGCTGATTATATCTCAACTGTGATCCATGGTACTGACTTTCAAGGTAAAAATTCAATTTGTTTCCCTCTGTGGTTTCATTAAATATAAGAAAGCATTTCTCTTTTACCAAGGGTCTTTGTTAATGGAGAAACAAGGAAGTGCTGAAGCTTTCCACAGGAGGGTTACCTCTAAGCTCTGCGGGAAGTTTCTCATATCACCCAGCAAAGTCTTAGAAACCTTCTAAACAGACCAGAAAGCCAAACTCCCAAATCACAAACCCTGCTTTCTGGAAGGGCCATCCCGAGTATTTTAGCTGGATTCAAGACATCCTGTATATTCATCCTACAGATGTTCTCTCCATATTGCCTTTTAAATTACCTTCCATTTAACAAAATGAAAAGAGGGAAAGGATAGACCAAAATGAGACAGAGGGTAAATAATAGGTGTGGTTAGCAGAACAGATCATCCCGAGATAGCTACGTGTTTCCAAAGGAACAACCAAATCAATTTGAACAGGAACAACAATCACAGTTATAATTAAAAATAAAATTCCTGGGTCCTGGTGGGAAAAATATCTAAGGATGTAGCTGAAGAGATCTCACCACATATCAGGAGAATTTAACATAAGGAAACTTGAAAATTAGACGTATCCTGGAGAACTTTTTGAATTACAGAGATCACTAAAATGTCACAAAATCATCCAGCTAGGAAAAACAGGTTACTTATAAAGGGATTAAATTCAGATTGATCAGAAATTAGCTCAAGTGAAAAGGGACAGTCATTGAAAAGATAAAGGAAATTAGAAGCAGGAAAACCTGCAGCCTCATAAACATCTGAAATTGGGCCTAAAAAATCAATCAATTATCTCTCTCTCTCTCTCTCTCTCTCTCTCTCTCTCTCTCACTCTCACACACACACACACACACACACACACACACACACACACCACACACACACACACACACACACACACACACACACACACACACACACATACACACATTCACTTTTTATACACAGCT